GGGGGGGGGGGAATAAAGTATTTATTCAAATTACTATTACATACAAGCTTGTTTGTAAGTGTCACTGGGCAAATTTATTTTCAGATGCTCTAAAATCGCACCTAAAGAAATGGGTTCAAAATACAATGATAAACTTTGACTATTCATTAGGAATAATTTCCTGATAAACAAGCTGTTCAGCAACGGTACAGGCTCCTCAAAAGGTAAGCTTTCATTACAGATTTGTAGACAGAGGCTGGATGGCCACTCATCTGGGATGCTGGAGTAACAGATTTCCTGAATCAGCATAGGATTACACCAGATAAGAACATAAGAAAAGCCATGTATCACCTTCTTGGATGCTGGATCAGACCAAAGGTCCATCTAGTCTGATCTAGTTTTCATAAAAGAGGAACCCTTTGCAACAATGCCTAACCTCCTACAAAGGATTGAAGAATATGGCAAGGTTACTGGGATGAATATAAATAGAGAAAAGACAAAACTATTAGTAAAAAATTTCACACAGGACCAGAGAAAAACTCTGCAGGAACAAGTAGACTTACAGATTGTTAAAAAGGTTAAGTATTTGGGAATTTATCTTACAGCAAAGTGTACCACTCTGAAAGAAGACAATTATGATAAACTATTGAAGGATATTAAGAGTGATTTGAAAAAATGGGCTAATTTGCAATTATCTTTGCTGGGAAGAATAGCACTAGTTAAAATGAATATATTACCAAAGCTTTTGTTTTTATTCCAAATGATTCCCATAAAAATTGATAGAAAATCAAAATTCAAATTTTCAAATTTCAAGATTTATATGGAGAAAGAAAAAACCAAGGATTAAACTAAAAATACTTCAGGAGGATAAAGAGAATGGGGCCTTTGGTCTCCCTGACTGGATGCTGTATTATCAAGCTTCTGTCTTGTTGTGGCTAAAAGAATGGATAACTTTAAGAAATAAGAGAATCTTGTATCTTGAACGGTGAGATTTGCAAATGGGCTGGCATGCTTATATGTGGTATGAAAAGGCTAAGCTACATGGCTCTTTTTTTCTATTATATTAGAAAATCATTAATGTTGGTGTGGGAAAAGTTAAAGACAAAATTGTATAATAAATTGCCAAGATGGCTTTCACCTATGGAAGCTTTTGTATATCCAAATGCATTGAATTTTGAAGGAATCATAAGCTATGACATTCTGGATAAGGATGAAGGATTGAAATTGAATCAAGAAACACAAGAACAGGGATCTAATATCTCTTGGTGGCATAAGGTGCAGATACAATCGAGATATGCTAAAGATTATAAAACATGGGGCTTTTACAAGGACTTAACAGCATTTGATCAAGTGATGCTTAAATCAGATGAGAAAATGACTAAAAGACCATATAATTTCTTACTTGATAGGACAATGGAAGATGAACAGGTTAAGGAAACTATGATAACGTGGGCACAAAACTTTGGATATAATATTGAATTAGAAAAATGGCAAAAGATATGGGAGAGAAATATTAAGGTAACATTAGCAACTTCGTATAAAGAAAACCTGTATAAAATGTTTTATAGATGGTATCTGTCACCAAATAGATTAGCTAAGATGTTTCCAAATATGTCAAATGGAAATGTAAACATAAATTGGGTACTTTCTATCATATGTGGTGGACTTGCAATAACATGAAAAAGTATTAGATTAAAATACATAAATGGCTTGAGGAAATGTTAAAAAAATCTTTAGCTTTTAAACCTGAAGTCTTCTTATTAGGCATTATACCTGTTGATCTTAGTAAACAAGAAATGTAGTTGATTTTACATGTAATTACTGCGGTGAGGATTGCATTTGCTCAACACTGGAAAAGTGAAGAACCACCCACCAATGAATTGATTATAAAAAAGATCTTGGACTGTGCAGAAATGGATAAATTGACTTTATCACTGAAGGAGAAAGAAGACACTGACTTCTACCAAACTTGGGACTCTATATTATTGGCTAGGAGAAATGAGACTTTGTATAGATTAATATGTTTTTAAGTTATCATAAATGGAAAAAAATGTGGGGGCTGACCCAGCAGGCCTGATGTTTTTGATGATTGATGTTGTTTTTTAGTTTTTCTTTGTTTTTAGGATCATAATTTTGAATAAAACTTATTATAAAAAAATTAAAAACAAAGGTCCATCTAGTCCAGGATTCCATATACATGGTGGCAAACCAGCAGTACACAGGATCCTTCAAGCAGGATGGCTGCAAGACCTCCACCTGCCCAAGCTCCTCAGCAACTGGCAGCAGGCATGCCATCTCTGCCCAAGGAGGAAGCACATTGCCAGCAAGGCTAGCAGCCACTGACAGCCTCTTCCCTCATGAAACTGTCCAATCCCTTTTAAATCCATCCAAATTGGTGGCCATCACCTCTTCCTGTGGCAGCAAATTCAATAGGTTACCTATTCACTGTTAACCTATGGAACAGGGTTACTTCAGGGTATGCATTGAAGTATTTTTAGGACAGAAGGTTTATCTGTCCTAAACCTTCCTCCAATTACCTTGATGGGAAAACTCCTCATTCAAGTGTTATGGGAAAGAAAGAAAAGTTTCTCCCTCTCCACTTCCCACACTCTTTCGTCTATTCTTTAACCAGTTAGTGATCCATAAGAAGATTCTCCCACCTTTTATTTCAGGACTGCTTAGTTTCCTCAGGAGTCTTGGTGAAGTATGTTGTCAAAAAGATGACAAAGGTTACCTTTAAGAACCTTGCCAAATCTCAAAATTCTACAGTTCTCAATCAATCTCCAAATAAAAAGGCACAGAACTGAGCTGACAAACATAAAATTTTATTTTCAAGGACATCCTCATCATTCCACTCCCAAATATATCCTCACAACAATCCAAAATCACACAGTTCACTGGGGATTTGAATCCAGGTTTCTCCAATTAAAATCCAGTGCTTGCATGATGATACCAAATCACATGAACAAAGTCCTCTAACTGTATAAGACCTCACTGCACACTATCCCATAAGGGCAAATTAAAAGCAAGGAGAATAACTACATTAAAAATTTGAGAAAGAGAACCTAAATTCCAAATTAGGGCTTAAAAGGTAAATCAGAGGACAGCTGGTCAAGGACTGTCAGTGCCTCTGAAGAAGCCTTTGTCATTGTTACTCAAAGAAAAAGCAAATAAAGAAATTAAGTACCTTTGCCACTGGTGCTCTCCATTGTGTACAGATAATCCATGTAGAAAGCTCCAAACCTCTGCATTCCAGTTATCTCTGTGTACATCTCCTACCAACAAAGCAAAGTACATACAACTAATGTTCTGTTAAGAAAGAATTTTGAGATTACAACCCAATGGTATCAGAGCTATGTCCAAGCATTAGAGATATATGCTTGTTTGGGTTTATGCAAGAATACATAGTAAAGCTTATCAAAACAAAGAACAGAGGTTAGTCAAAGAATACATTTTTCAGATAGCTAATGCAACATCTAAACTAGACAACACAAAAGGACATCTATAACTCTTCAGGATGTTTTGACCACTTTTACCAATAGCAACTAGCTAATTAGTATCTTCAGTGGAGTAAAGTATCACTCTGGTTTCCTAGTAAACCAACTGCCTAATACAAATTTAAAATCTAACAATTTGTAATCTATGTAACATATTAAGAAATACACTCAAAAGCATTTGGACTACTCGTTATTAAGGATTTGTTTGGCCATGTCTTTATAAGAAACAATGAATCTTAAATAACAAAGTTGACAAAAAGTAATGAAAATCCATAGATACTACCAAAAGAGATTTTAAGTGTTTCTCTTTTCCGATCCATTTATATTTAGATAAGGAATAGACATTTATCACAGATGCAGGAAGTAAGAAGCAGAGTTCCTGAAGACTATGTATTGGCACCAGTGTTGTTTAACTTGTGGGCAGGTAGAGAAATGACACAAAATTATTTAGGGTGGTGAAAATTCAGTTGCAAAAGACCTCCCCCAAACGGAGGAAGTAGGCAATAAAACAGTAAATGCAGCTCAGTGTAAAAATGTGTAGAGCAATTGAGCACCGTAGGAAAAGCATCTTCATTAGTAAATACACTAATGGTGTCTAAACTGATTGTCAAGGTGGATAGTTCAATAAAATAATCAACTTGGTGTGCAGCAGCTGTGAAACATGTTAAGTTCCATCTCATTAAGAAATGCGTTAAAAATCTACCCCTATCATAATGCTCTTATACACGTCTGTGGTGTAGTCAACTGGAATACCATGTATAATTCTAGTTGCCCGTCTTAACAAGGTTCTAATAAAAGATAGAAAAGATGCAGAAAAAGTCAACTGCCATTATCAAGTGGTTGGAGCACTTTCCTTAGAAAAAAAGTTTCAACTATTTCTAAACTTTTTCTTGAATGGGGAATAGGAAATTACTCAGGGGAGAGGGGCTAGAGATTTATCAAATTATGAATGATGTGAAGAGAGTGAAAAGCTTTGCTCCTTCTCACAACGCTTTCAGAAGCAGCATGCCACTGGATGATGATGATGATAATACCAGCTCCTAGGTAACCACTGTGTGAGAGGAATATAGTTTCCAAAACCTTGTGTACTCGGAGGCAATGCACTCTACTAAATTGGTCCTTGGCCCAATACAGCAGAGCTTTTCTCATATTTTAAAATATAATAAATACAAAGCACAGTATATATTTATATGCTATAAACCAAGAGAGGATTAAAAACAGATACTGTAGCTGGTATGTTTTATACAGGATTTTCAGTGTTCATAGCATGATACTCATACATGTGGTTTTGGTTTGGAATATTCTGCATTATCTTTAGTTGTATACTTGGGTGCATATACACATATAAAACACAAGCCTTAAAAAGAAAAGTATTTGCATTTGACAACTTAGGTGTACTTCTTTAAAGGTCTTGAAAGGTGCCATCAGACCCTTGCTTTTGAATGTGATAGAGAGATTGTATTTTACAAAACAGTGAATCTTCTTGTGGAAAAATGAATGCATGTTTTGCATTCAGATACCTACACTACAGTACAATTATAATGAGAACAATCCCTTATGGCTAGGCTCATTTTAGTTTATAGCATCTAGGTATCCTGTTCTTCCTTCAAGGATTTCAAGAAAGCTTACTTATGCTTATAAAAATTTTACAAAGAGGCTTCTTCTGAATAGCAACTTGCCCACAGTTACTCAGTGAACTCCACAGTAAAGAATGATTTGAACCAAGATCACCTCAGCCAGATTAAACTCTATCAAATACTCAAAATAGGTATTGTATCCATTTACTCCTTCTATCTCTATTTTATCTTAGCTAAAGTTCCAGATGCAGCACATTTAATCATTTTCTCCACAAATAAATTCCACTTAGCTTGATAGGATTTCCTTACAAGAAAGACTAATGCCTAAATTAGTTATAACCTCTCTATAATAAAATACAATGCAAATAAATTCAAATAGCCTATTGTGTAACTCTTAGGTACCCTTCTTAGCAAGAGATTAAAGTGACACCACTAAGTAATTTAGGAGAAACCATGAAGAGTGTCAAATCCACAATGAGGCATACTGAACACAGAAGTTGACAAAATAAGCCACAGGATGTAAATACTGAATGAAGTTAAAATAAAAAGGAAAAAGACCTTATGAGCAGTTGCATCCAAAATGAATTCTGCACGAACCCCATTGTTTTCAGGACTTCTGTAATCAAACAGTGAATTGGTAAGGTATGTCATCCCCTTTGTGCTTAAATTCTCTCCACAATGGAAAAAGTAGGCATCCTTCAAAAAGTAAAGGGAGAAATAAGTGGGAATGTATGGAGTATAAATAAAGTAACATACACAAAACAAAATGAAAAATGTTCTTCAGGGTGGAATCACATTTTTGGCAACTGGCAGAGGCAAACCCAAAACTAAAATTAAAACTGTATCCAATGGGTAATTCCTGACATAACAGTGAACAATGTCTCTGCCTGGCAGCTGATAATTATAAAGGTAGCAGTTCTGAAGGGTATAATATCATCTGTCCTGTAATAGCAAAAGGCTGCATCCGGTCAATGGTCTTCTGGCCCCTTCCAACTATACTATTCTATGCTTGCTTGCTTGGTTATTTTCTATCCTACCTATCAGCCAAGAGGCTAGGTTAGTTTTTACAGCTATGTTGTATACTTGAGCCCTTCTGCTTGACCTTGATCAAGCTATGAGCCAAGAATAAGGAAGGGTAAAAACTTCCTGTGATACCAACCCTGTGCCTTTTGCAGGGTATTTTTTGGTGGGGGGAGGGCACCAATATCTTTCTTCTTCAATGTGTAATCCCAGTCCAAGTGCATGTAATAAACATGGTAACATTACAGCACTGCAGACACAATCTAATTTTGTCTGTATATTAACTTCTGTGAAAGCAAATTAACCCAACACTTTGTCCTCAGTTTGAATTGGTGTTCAGATAGAAAAGGAGCATCACTGTGATCTAGATACCTGTACTACCTCAGTAATGGAGACATTTCCCCATGTTACCAAACTGAGATACAAGATTTCCATCATGGGTATTAAATCTAGTAGTATAATCAACAAATATGTCCAGCACTGGAAGTCCCAAGTTTGATTTTACAACTCTCGACTAATACTTGAAATGTGGAAGATAGGTTAGTTTGTTCTGAAAGCACTATCATAACAAGAGTTTGAAAGGAATCTCCAAGCAAATCAGTAAGGTAGGCTGTTACCTTGCTCCTACTAGAACTGATGAGATGAAGTATAAAGCAATAAAATGATATTCACCCAATGAAGAGAACACTGTTTATTCTTCTATTTTAAATTTATGTTTAATATAGCTATTGATGATACTGATATACAATAGTCACCCGACATTCATGGGGGTGACATTCCTAAAGCACGCACATATTGTGAAAAACCGCGAATTTGGTGCCACTGATGGGTGCCGGCCGCCAAGGCGGTGCGAGCGGGAGGCGCAGGCCAGGCCAGGCCGGGGGGCGGGTGTGTGGCGAGGCAGGGGCGCAAGTGTCCAGAGATAGTTTCCTCTGAGTTTGGACTCGCTCGGAGAAAACTATCTTCTTGCAAGTAAGCCGCTGCATGGCCAGGCGCTGGCTTACTTGCAAGGAGATTGGCTTGGACTCACTCGGAGAAAATTCCCGTGAAAGACTGAAGCTGCGAACACTGAACCACGACTTCATGGGAGTATACTGTATACTTGATAAACACAAACACATTTTTTTCAAAACAAAACCAAATAATTTTCAAAATCTGAGCTAGGTCATTAATGCAATATATACTTATGTTGATTTTTTAAAGCCACTCATCCTTCACATTATTAGCTCTTTATATGGCATTGACACCCAATTTTCCACAGAAGACAACTGTTCTGCTCTATTCTAATACCAAGAACTGGATCCAAACAGCTACTTCAAGAATGCTCAAAGGCTGGCTTGTACATATTCCTAGTCAGACTTGTTTTCTTTGAAATGCAGCTTTCTACACCATAAAAAAAACCTCTTTTCAATTTCAAATGTTGCAGGTTATGCAGAAGAAAGGGATCCTGTCTAAGAAACAAGAGTTCAAAGCCTACTTGAACTCTTTGGAATCCAGTTCAAAAATATTTTTCCTAGTTCTAAAACAATATAACACATTATGTCTATGATGCACTAAAATATACAATGCACTTACTGTATCACTTCTATTCATATTCTCCTCAAAATCTTTAATTCCCATTATTCCTTTAAGACAAAGAGCTTGGCAACCAACAAAGCCTATTTGGCAATCAAAGAAAGGTTCTCCACTCATGAGGACCTAGAGGAAAAAAAATCAACATGCTAAGGAATGTTGCAGCAATGCACAAAGAAACTGAAAAATGGTCAATATTCAGACTGCAATCTATCATATATTTGTGTAAACCATCTAAAATCAATTAATTTCAAGGAATTAATATTGTATAGCTTAATTTATTCACAATATTAATGGAGTTATTAAGAAGTGAATCAAGTAGAAGAATGATCGTAATGTATATCTGATTGGAAAATATACAAAAAGCTCTCCTCCTTGCAAAATAGAAATAGGGACCTGTTTCAATTATTGTAATAATCCAAGTAGTAGAATATAACATTAATATTATAACTGCCTGTATAAAATAATGATACTGAGGGGGGGAAACATCAATACTAAGACATTTGCTACAAAATAATATATGTAAAGTAGTAATGGAAAATTACCTCAACTGTAGTTCCTTCTTGTTCCCAGCATATTATTTCTTTGGATTTTACTTTCTGTGGACTGTAATAACTACTTTCAGCTTGCATTTCAGTGAGCTGTGTAACAATATGACAAACATTGACTATTAGTCAATATTAGCCATAAATACACATAAGCTATCATTACTTCATAGAAAAGATGACAACAAATTAAATTTTACTAATGGTAAATAAGATTCGGCAGGAAACAGGTGCACTCAAACAGCTGTGACACATTATCCCTACTGAAAAATAACAACTTGGAATTGAATGTGCCATTTAACCTATGCATTGGCACTATTTTTTTAAAAAACTGAATCATTTTTAGTTTCCTACTTATATAAACAATGAATAAAAAGGTAAACTAACAGATACACAGGTGCAGCAGCACGGTTTATGAACTTGACAGAATATGGCTAGATTTATTAAAATAGGACAGGAAATAATTCACAAGATAGACATCACAAGCAAACCTTGTAAACTCCCACTTTAACGTTTTGTGTATGCTCTAGTCAACATGGATAAAGCAACAAGAACAGATCAATAGTGCACATTTGACAGTTTAACATCATTTATTAAATAAGGGCAGAATAATAAAACTTTTAAATGCTTAGTCCTTACAACACTTAGTTCTACATGCTCTGAAATAATTCATTCTAATTTTCTCATAAAATTCCTAGAAGCTCTCATTACTTAGTTATTTCCAACTGTGTGTACACATGGTTGCTGTTTTGAAGCAAAATTCTATAAGGCAAATGCTCAAGTAAAACAGGATAAAAATTCCACTCTTCAGCTGTATGCAATTATTGTAGAGGAAAAGCAATTAATTGATTAAAAGAACTCAAACGTTACAAGAACAATTTTCAACATTATTAGGAAAATGCTACATTTAATTTGGCATGATTTTTTTTAGCTGGAACAGTATCAGCTACTCAGAATGCTAATGCAGAAACGTGACCTTATTTTTGACCAAAATATTAACCACAAATTAATTCCGTACATTCTTAGCATTCAAGCAGAACAATGAATTCTAATGTTTTCCTTCTAAGTGCCACCATAATTCTCTATACATCCCAAATCATAGTATAAAAATATAACATTCAAGATGTCAGGATGTGGTAAAATTATTTTAATATATGATGCCAAATGCAGAAAAACTGTTACACATAAAATCAAGGCTTAAGGAGTCCTGGTTACTTCTACAAAGGGCACTGTTTACACTGGCCATTTATTATGAGATATATTGGGAATAGTATCCTGCTATAACAGTCCATGTTAAATTCTCATTAAAATAGCAGTTTAAAATGTTGCAGTGTTCTTTTTCATAGAATTTGTGTGGTTTATCCTACAAGCCTACTGTAAGAAGCGAATGGAAGGACAGGACAGATATAAAGTATGGTATGGTGAAAAAAATCAATGGGAAACTAAGGAAGAGTATGTGTACTCTGGAACAGTGAGAGCAAAGAAAAATCCTCCCTTCTGCTTCACCACTCAGTGGTATCCTTTTCACTAGAAGATCCATCAACTTCCATGCCCATTTTACCCTAAAATTCCTGAACAAATTACCGTATTTTTCCGTGTATAAGACGATACTTTTTCTTAAAAATATTTACCTAAAAATGGAGGGGCATCTTATACACAGGGGGCCAAGAGGAGAACCGCAGGGGGGGGATGGGAAGACCGGTGTGGGCGGAGGCAGCGAGGCAGCATCTTGCTTGCTCGGAGATCGGTAAGAAAAGTGGGGGGCATCCTATACATGGGGGTGTCTTATAGACAGAAAAATACAGTACAATAGCCAGTTCCTTATAAAAGAGCTGTGCCTTTCTTTGGATTGAGTGCCTTAGCACAGTATTAAAGTTCACCATTAGGCCTGTCAGATTTTTCAGCCTACAGATGTTTTATCCCCCACCATTGACTTTATTTATTTATTCAATTTATATGCCACCCCACTAGCCATAAGTTTTCTGTGTGACTTGCGTCATGATAAAATCTAAAAACAGCATAGAAACAATACAACAACACAATTCCAGAGACCAACAACAATAAAATCAATAAGGAGACTACCAAAATTATATAAAACAAAATAAGCAAAATAGAAATAGTAAAACCATAAATAGAATTTGTAATATAGAAAATGCCAAAATAAAATATGAACCAAAAGGCCAAAAGAGTGGGTTGGTGCAGTGAATGGGCTGCTATATATTGAGATTAAGGTTGATGGGAATTGTAGGCTAAAGCATACAGGAGGACTGGTTGCCCATCCCTGCTCTATAATCATTCTATACAGTAAGTATTAGGGCAGTAATTTAATGAAAGAAAGCTTAGCCAGTTAATAATATGGATTTAGTCAGTTTATCAAAATTTAATCAATACATAACAGCATGATTTCTTATTTTAGATGGTTCATGCATATGTAACAGAAATGATAATTAGAGTTATTCATTTTTAATGAAGTTTACAAAAGCTGAGCAAGGCTGTCAAGGACATTCATAAATACAAGTCAGCGATTATTAAACAGCATATAACAACAGCGGGAGATCAGCGGGAGAGGCCCTTCTCCGGGAACCCTCCGTGAAGGAAATTAGGAGGGAAAGTACTCGGAGGAGGGCTTTCTCTGTGGTGGCGCCCAATCTATAGAATCCGCTCCCAGGAGAGGTCTGCCTGGCGCCATCGTTATTTGTTTTTCGGCGCCAGGCGAAGACCTTTTTATTCAAACGTTATTTTAATTGTTAATATTATTTATTTTATTCTTTGGCCAGGGTGACTTAATTTATACTGTTAAATTATATTGTTTTATATTATGTTACTTATTTATGATTGTGAGCCACCCCAAGGCTTCAGCGAATGGGGAGGCATAGAAGTTCCCTAAATAAATAAATAAACAGTTCCCTTTAAATGAAGGAAGCATCTTTTCTGCTAAGATAGTACATGCTATCTGTAGTTTTGAAATAAGAAGCTTGCAATGATATAGCATCTTTAAATATTCATTCCAGTAAATTGGGGTGCCTTGTTAATTGATTAAAAGCCCTTTAATTGTTAAATCAATCACTGAAGCTCTAATAATTATCAATAGTAGCATTGTTGTTGTTGTTAGTCGCGAAGTCATGTCCGACCCATCGCGACCCCATGCACAACACTCCTCCAGGCCTTCCTGTCCTCCACCATCTCCTGGAGTCCACCTAAGCTCACACCAACTGCCTCAGTGACTCCATCTAGCCACCTCATCCTCTGCCGTCCCCTTCTTCTTTTGCCATCTATTGTTCCCAGCATTAGGCTCTTCTCCAGAGAGTCCTTCCTTCTCATTAGGTAGCCATAGTATTTGAGTTTCATCTTCAGGATCTGGCATTCTAAAGGGCAGTCAGGGTTGATCTCCTCTAGGACTGACTGGTTTGATCACCTTGCAGTCCAAGGGACTCGCAGGAGTCTCCTCCAGCACTACAATTCAAAGGCCTCAATCCTTTTGCACTCACAGCCTTATGGTCCAGCTTTCACAGCCATACATTGCAACTGAGAAAACCATAGCCTTGACTATATGCACTTTTGCTGGCAGGGTGATGTCTCTGCTTTTTAGTATGCTGTCTAGATTTGCCATAGCTTTCCTCCCCAGGAGCAAGCGTCTTTTAATTTCTTGGCTGCAGTCCCCGTCTGCGGTGATCTTGGAGCCCAAGAAAATAAAATCTGTCATGACCTCCATTTCTTCCCCATCTATTTGCCAGGAAGTGAGAGGACTGGATGACATGAGCTCAGTTTTCTTAATGTTGAGTTTCAACCCAACTTTTGCGCTCTCCTCCTTCACCCGCATCAAGAGGCTCTTTAGTTCCTCTTCACTTTCTGCCATGAGAGTGGTATTATCTGCATATCTGAGGTTGTTGATATTTCTGCCAGCAATCTTAATTCCAACTGGTGATTCATCCAGCCCCGCCTTTCTCATGATGTGCTCTGCATATAAATAGGCAGGGCAACAGTATACAGCCTTGCCGAACTCCTTTCTCAATTTTGAACCAATCAGTGGTTCCATGTCCAGTTCTCACTGTTCCTTCTTGACTCGAATATAGGTTTCTCAAGAGACAAATACGATGGTCTGGTATTCCTATCTCTTTAAGAACTTGCCACAATTTGTTGTGATCCACACAATCAAAAGCTTTAGCATAGTCAATGAAGCAGAAGTAGATGTTTTTCTGGAACTCCCTAGCTTTCTCCATGATCCAGTGTATGTTGGCAATTTGATCTTTTGTTCCTCTCCCTCTTCGAAATCCTGCCTGTGCTTCGGTCCACATACTGCTGGAGCCTAGCTTGTAGGATTTTGAGCATCACTTTGCTAGCATGTGAAATGAGTGCAATGGTGCAGTAGCTTGAACATTCTTTGGCATTGCCATTCTTTGGGATGGGAATGTAAACTGACCTTTTCCAACCCTGTGGTCACTGTCGAGTTTTCCAAATTTGCTGGCATATTGAGTGTAGCACTTTTACTGCATCTTCTTTTAAGATTTTGAATAGCTCAGCTGGAATACTGTCTCCTCCACTAGCTTTGTTGTTGCTCAGTCTTCCTAAGGCCCATTTGACTTCACATTCCAGGATGTCTGGCTCAAGGTCAGTGACCACCCCATTGTGGTTATCAGGGACATTAAGCTCTTTCTTGTATAGTTCTTCTGTGTAATCTTGCCACCTCTTCTTAATGTCTTCTGCCTCTGTTAGGTCCCTGACATTTTGGTCCTTTATCATGTCCATCTTTGCATGAAACATTCCCTTCATAGCTCCAATTTTCTTGAAGAGATCTCTGGTCCTCCCTATTCTATTGTTTTCTTCTATTTCTTTGCACTGTTCATTTAAGAAGGCATTCTTATCTCTTCTAGCTATTCTCTGGAATTCTGCATTCAATTGGGTGTATCTTTCTCTTTCTCCCTTGCCTTTTGCTTCCCTTCTTTCCTCAGCTATTTGTAAAGCTTCCTCAGACAGCCATTTTGCTTTCTTGCATTTCTTTTTCTTTGGGACGGTTTTAGTCGCTACCTCTTGTACAATGTTGTGAATCTCCGTCCATAGTTCTTCAGGCACTCTGTCTGTCAGATCTAATTCCTGAAATCTATTTGTCACCTCTACTGTATATTCATCAGGGATCTGATTTAGGTCATACCTGAGTGGCCTAGTGCTTTTCCCTACTTTCTTCAATTTAAGCCTAAATTTTGCAACGAGAAGCTAATGATCTGAGCCACAGCCAGCTCCTGGTCTTGTTTTTACTGACTGTATAGAGCGTCTCCATCTTTGGCTGCAGAGCACATAGTCAATCTGATTTCTGTGTTGACCATCTGGTGATGTCCATGTGTAGAGTCGTCTCTTGGATTGCTGGAAAAGAGTGTTTGCTATGACCATCATATTCTCTTGACAAAATTCTACCAGCCTGTGCCCTGCTTCATTTTGTACTCCAAAGCCAAACTTGCCTGTTATTCCGATTATCTTTTGGCTTCCTACTTTAGCATTCCAATCCCCCATGATCATAAGGACATCATTTTTGGGTGTTAATTCTAGAAGGGGTTGTCACCTAGGCTTCATAGAACTGGTCAACTTCAGCCTCTTCAGCACCAGTTGTTGGGGCATCAACTTGGACTACTGTGATGTTGAATGGTTTGCCTTGGATTCAAACTGAGATCATTCTGTCATTTTGGAGATTATATCCCAATACTGCTTTTCCTACTCTTTTATTGACTAGGAAGGCTACTCCATGTATTCGGATGGATTCTTGCCCGCAGTAGTATACCTGATGGTCATCTGAATTAAATTCACCCATTCCTGTCCATTTTAGATCACTGATTCCTAAGATGTCGATGTTCAGTCTTGTCATCTCTTGTTTGACCACATCCAGCTTGCCTTGATTCATGGATCTAACATTCCAGGTTCCTCTGAAGTATAGATCTTTACAGCATCAGACTCTCCTTTCACCACCAGATACATCTGCAACTAAGTGTCCTTTCGGCTTTGACCCAGTCGTTTCATTCCTTCTGGCGCTACTAGTACTAGCCCTCTGCTCTTCCCCAGTAGCATATTGGACACCTTCCGACCTGAGGGGCTCATCTTCCAGCGTCAAAGCTTTTTGCCTTTTGGTACTGTCCATGGGGTTTTCATGGCAAAGACACTGGAGTGGGTTGCCATTTCCTTCTCCAGTGGATCACGTTTTGTCAGAGCTCTCTCCTATGACCTGTCCTTCTTGGGTGGCCCTGCACAGCATAGCTCATAGCTTCATTGAGCTGCGCAAGCCCCTTCACCACGACAAGGCAGTGATCCATGAAGGAGGAGTGTTGAGCACAGGAGAGTTTTAAAGATGTGGAAAGAGTGCTCTAGACTTCCTCTAGAATAAACAAGAAAAAAGAGCTGCTGGATGCAGACTTTAAATTCATATTTGTTTGGCACAGAGGTAGCAGGTCACTTCCCCCCTCCCTCAAAAAAGCTTACTAGATATAAATATATAAACTGGACATCTGTAACTTCCAGTTCATTTGTATTTATTTGGATCCCATCTGTATAACTATTTAGCAATTTCACAGTTATTATACATAGATAAAATACAAGTTTAAGCATACCATTTCATGCAGTGTGTATGAAATCTGGAACTTGTTTTACAGAATAGCCTGTACAAGATTTAAGGGCTGTCATTTGACTCACTTGAGTAATAATCTAATTGCATGGGCAAATGGAATAGTGTGAATATTAGACCCTGTTAACACTGAAGGCATCAACACAGTAAACTCTGCTGACAAATTCTAAGATACAGTATATATTCACTGAATAAACACAAGCAAGCTACAAACAAACACAGCTTGCACATTATGTGTGCAATCAATGGCTGAATCTGCCATGGCTGAATCTGCCTTGTTTCCAGGCAGTTCAGTAAGTTAGATCTACAATACATGTAATATAATGAACTCCAAATGCCTAATAAGCTGATTTCCAAGAGAGTTACTTCCCGGGCCAATGCCAGAGTTACAAGGGTAATGAGTCCTTTCTTCAGGAAATCTACCTTCTCACCACCGTTGTCACTAGTGGCATTTGTTCCTCATCCTCCTTCTCAGCATTGATAGCTCTTGCTTGCTTGAAAGGCAGAGAACTGGTGACCGAGCACAGGTATCTACTGCTCTTTGTTCTCATCACCATCATTGTTAGGCCGAGGTGAGGAGGGAATGAACAAGCAGGTTGCAATGATGAAGAGGAGGAAGAAGTCCTGGTGGGTCTTGTCACTGGGCCCCTGCCAGGCTGCAGGCCCTTGCTAGGTACCCAACTTAGTGCCCCCTCCTGTTACATCTCCAGCATATGCCATATAATAAATCACAAACATTTAACAAGATCATCAAATGTCATAAATTTCAATGCATTTTAGAGGGCCCTTTTGTGTGTGAAGTCAACTTGTATGGAGATTCTTGATTGCTTGTTGTTGTTAGTCGTGAAGTTGTGTCCGACCCATCTCAACCCCATGGACAACATTCTTCCAGGCCTTCCTGTCCTCCACCATCCCCCAGAGTCCACTCAAGCTCACACCAACGGCTTCAGTGACTCCATCTAGCCACCTCTGCCGTCCCCTTCTTCTTTTGCCATCCATTGTTCCCAGCATTAGGCTCTTCTCCAGGGAGTCCTTCCTTCTCATTAGGTGACCAAAGTATTTGAGTTTCATCTTCAGTATCTGGCCTTCTAAAGAGCAGTCAGGGTTGATCTCCTCTAGGACGGACTGGTTTGATTGCCTTGCAGTCCAAGGGACTCGCAGGAGTCTCTGCCAGCACCACAATTCAAAGGCTTCAATTCTCCGGCACTCAGCCTTCCTTGCGGTCCAACTTTCACAGCTTCTTGATTGCTATTACCACTAAATATACTGAGTGTAGAATCCTCTTTGTTGATCCTAGCCATGTTAGAGCACCCCTTACATCTGTACTGCTTTGAGCACTTCGGCCTATTAGATTGACATGAGCAGCTGGAGTGCTGATAGATAACAGGAGAAGTGAGAATATGAATTCCACAATAGACTGAGGTGTGAGGGAGCCAGTCCTCTACTTTGACCATCCTCCCCAGCTTGTGATTCATCATTTTGCAGAACTGGCACATCAAAATTTGCTACCTGTGGCACACTGGGAGTTAGCCCTTGGAGTATGCTGACAGAGTGTCTGCTCAGGGGGGCAGCTCTCCTGCTTTAACTCTCTCCTTTTTGCATGACACAACCGGCAGCATTGTTCATTTATGCAACAGCCATATATGAACTATGCAATATCTAACTGGATGGTTAAGTCACCATCTCTGCATGTTCAGAGGTGACATGCACTAGTTTCTATTTGTGATCCCCTGGTAAAAGGGGCCAGTGTGCTTTACCCATATCTAGAATTGCGGCAGGATTTTATATTTCCAAAATGAGGGGAAGAGTGAAGTTTCCAACATTTCCTCCTTTTTGGTTCCCATTAATATAGGGCAACCACATAACCACCAAATGATCGGAAGTGCTCCTCCCTCCCTCTGAAAATGCAAGTCCTGTAGCTACACCATTGAGCTAGTTTTACTGTTTTCTCTATTCTACTCATCCACTTCCCACTAAATCTGCTTTCTAGAACAGCTTACTCAATGTAGAGATCTGGAGATCTTGAAACTGTACGTTTTTAGTGATTACTGTTTTGGTTGGCCTTAATAAAGATATTGTACTAATATGAATGCTGGAATGCTGCAAAGAGATCTTGAAATGTTTGCACTGGCAACTGAGCTTCAGCCCCTTAAGACTGTACTGCCCTGAAAGGGCACGTCCAGGAAATACATGTAGTTCCAACTGCAGGTGCCATTTTGTTAATGCCGACGGGTCTTCAAACACTCTTCATTTAACGGCACATGGATCTCACTATTGATAACTAAGGATTGTATTTGCGTGTTCACATGTGGATTGTCACATAATACATGTGCATGTGCAAACATTATGCAAATGCACACTGATAATGCTGATTGTGTGGGAAGTCCCACATCCATTCTTACCATCCCAGTTCAGTGGAAGGATAATTGCCACTTTGTTACCACTTATGAATCACCAGTCCTATCTGGAAAAACATGTTGCTGAGATCCATGGCCACCTGCTTTGTTTTGAAGCTATGTATTATCAGGTTGGTCTCTGCCCATCAACTCTTTGGCAGTCAGAGAGCTTCCCTGTGAGAGCCCAGAGCACACCTGCCTGGCACAGGGGTCCTGCACTTCCTGAGCTGGCCATTGTCAGGGGCACTTTACCAGAGCAAACGAGGCATAGGCCTGATGGCCTATTTCGGAAATTCCACCCTGAGGAGGAGCTCCTCCCGGCTGCTATTCAAGTTCAATAGGATGGTCAAAGGCAGGCATAGTGAACTGACATGACCAAAAGAAACAAGGGATTCTGCCCTGGAACAGATAGAGCTGAACAAGTGTGTGATTGGTCCACTGAAAATTCAGGACAAGCTTCCTGTGCTACACAGAACCTTCAGAACTGAAGTGGGGATAGACTACTGATACAAAAACTTTAACATATTGCCAGTTGCAAGATGGAATCATGCAGGAGGCATTATAGCTCCATCTGTCCACTGGCCACAGAAACTAGGAGTATTCCTAAGTTGAAAAGCCTCTGCTTAGTTTCTGATGCTCTGCAACGTCCCTTGTCCACTAGATGGCACTTGGGACCTCTGGCTGCAGAGGTAACATATTATCTCATTATGCTGGAGCTGGTAGTAAATGCTTCAGATGGAAGATTCCAGAGCAACACCATAGCCCTGCATCCAAATGTATAATTTTAAAAAATAGAAAGGGGTCATAAATAATGGGGGGAACTTCTCATATCAGGTATAGAAAAGTCTGAATGGAATCATGAAACAACTCTGAAAAGTTACGGATTTGTTCCTGGAAGAAAGTACTCTGGGCTTGTCCATACTATCAGGAGTGGGAGTGCATATCCAAATCCAGGCTAATCATTCTAAATGCATGCAGAAGTCCCCATTCAAAAATTATAATGCAGTCTTCTCCAACTAGGTGCCATCCAGATGTGTTGAACAATTCCCATCTTCCCCAGTCAGTATACCCTGATGTCTGAGTATGATCAGTCTGGAAGGCACAGGTGGAATGAGCTGTGTAGTGTGAGACTGATCTATTTATTACATTTTTATACCACCCAACAGCCAGAGCTGTCTGGGTAGCTCACAACAATATATAGTCTTTTTGGGTTAGCTTTGCTTCAGAGGCAACAGCCATCCTACAGTGGTGTTGGCCTCTTTACAATGACACTGGAGGAAGAACAGGCACAGATTTCAAAGAACCAAATAGAACAAAAGCAAAACTATTCCCAAAATGGTGGGTCTTTACCTGGGGCATGTGCATGTCAAGGTTGTTAGTCTGCTACTTTTTAAAAGGTTAGTGGAGTGCTTCTGCTATGAAATACTTCAATGGGGGGACTACTCAGCCTTAGAAGGATAAAATAATAAAAAAGTCAAAAGTAACAAAACAGATCCAGAATAGAGCAGTGCTGTGTCGTAAGTACTCAGCCAGTACCAATGACAGTCAGTCACACAACCACATTCTACACAATACTTGAACAATGAATAACAACAATGAATAACCAGATGATCTCATTTCCCCAATAAATATGTACTTTGCAGTGCAACATGTACATAAAAAGGCACTGTTCCTGCACCAGAGCTCAACTGTGTACAAAGATGTCCAGATTTCCTGCAACAAATGGATAAGAACCCTGATTTCTTGCCCTAAAAATACTGAGTGGGAAGGCCCCTGCTTTCTTGTCTTTTGCCATGAGACAGAATGTTTTGCTTATAGCACAGTTTTGCAACCCTTGCTTGCCAAGTTTCCCTTCAGATGTTTATTTATTATAATTTATCTATCTCACTTGTTACCCTCCACTTCCTTTGGCAACCTCATAGCAGCTTCTATAGTCTTCCACGTGACAGTAGCAGCTTCTATACAGTCTTCCATGTGGCAGTATAATTGTTGCATGTGAACTTTCTCATGTACCCCCTCATCCAACACTCCCAGGCAAAGCAGTCACTCCATGCAGTGCACTGTAAAACCCAACCAGAATTTATGGACATCTAAACTTCCGCCTCTTTATTTGCAATGGATGTCGATTTTATGGTAGACTAAGGCCACCCCAACTGGAGTTGCCAATTTTGTTTTGTATGCTTTCCTGGCAGGGTTCTAGCCAACAGAAATTTAGCAGATGATGATTTTCCTAGTAAGGAAATAGGGTGCTGAGAGAAGCTTCACTGGCCAGCAAAGCAACTACTAAAAGCACAAGAGCCCCAGCAGGAAGAAGTGGGTAACCTCAGCCTGTTGTGGAGTGCTTCTTCTCTTCAAGGAGGACGCTGGGGACTGACTGTGAACAGTGACTGCCAGGGATGAGTTGAGCTGGAAAAATGTTCGGTTGCATGGGTGTCTGGTTGTGAGAGTCCTTCTGTGATTAACCAGAAGGGATTGTTCCCTTGCATTTTCCCTTTAGAAATAATCAAACCATACAGAGTGTTTCTCTATTAATCGCCTTGTTGTCCATGATAGCTACAGACCCATTACTCTGGGTGAAATATTCTTGTACTCTTCTTTCTCTCATTGCTTCAACCTTAGCATCACATTAGCCAAACCCAAGGGGGTTGTTATCCATTGGTGCCATCAGGCTGGTGAAGCACTGTGTGAAGGAATGATCCAGCATGTCTCTTGGGAAGAAGCATTATTTCTAGCAGGGGTCAATTTTCCATATGTGGGACCTGGTGAGTCTTTTCCCATAGCATTCTCAAAAGGATGAATTCTAGAAAGGAACTGGATACCACAAAAATACATCCATTTTCTACATTACCTCTTAGCTCACAAATCATTTCTCTGCAGTTAAGCTATCCAGCACTTAATTTACCCATCTTGGCCAATAATTGCCTGAAGCGTAGATGTTCCAGAGTAGCTTCCCCCTCTTTCCTGAAGAAATTTCCCTAACTGACATGAGGTATTGGAATCTTGTTACAGGGCAACCCTCCCCCACCTGGTGCCTTGCAGGTCACAGAATCATAGGATAGTAGAGTTGGAAGGGGTTAGAAGGCCATCAGGTCCAACCCCCTGCTTAGGACAGGACACTGAGTTATGTGTTAGGCCAGGCCACAACGGGCAAGGAAAATGGTGCT